GGATGTCCAACATAGTAGCAGTCAGATTGCAACTCCAGATACCTACGGAATGCCAGTGATTGGCAGCTGAATCGTGCCATTTTCCTCCACCTGCAGTCACTCTGGGGCCCTTTGAATATGAACCTTTTTGTATCACGGTTGAACTCCCAACTACCAAAGTTCTTCAGTTGGAGACCAGACCCAGAATCCCTGGCGTCGGATGCTTTCCTTCAGTTGTGGCCAAACACTCGTCATTACTCTTTTTCTCCCTTCTCTCTGATAGCTCGGACATTACTACATCTCAGACGTTGCCGGACCTCCTTGATCCTCATATCTCCATTCTGACCAGCTCAACCATGGTTCCCTACACTCATGGAAATGTCCATAGACTATCCGAGGTTACTCCCTACTTCACCAGACCTCCTGCTGGATCCCAACGGAAACTCACACTCCCTTCTATTACAAGGGCAGGGAGTGTTACTCATGTGACTGGCATGGCTCCTCTCCGGGAGCTCTGCTTCATCCCAAATGTTCCACAGTCAACTCTGGACCTCCTGGCAGGAGCTTGGGCTCCAGGCACACGAAAGTCCTACCTGCATGCCTGGAATTCATGGAATAGCTGGTGCATGGAACAACACGTGAATCCGATATCTGCACCTGTGAGTCATGTGTTGAGGTTCCTCGCTTCACTGTTTGACAATGGCCTAGCCTATCGTACGATAAATTTAGACCGATTGGCTATTTCTGTGGGCCACAATGGCTTGGATGGCTACCCGGCAGGAAAACAACTCTTGGTGTGCAGTATTCTTCGTGGCATCAGATTTGCACGCCCACCTCAACCTAAATACTCTTCATTATGGGATGTGGACCTTGCCCTCCGACTCTTCGAAAACTGGCCAAGGAATGAAGACCTTTCACTCAAACAACTCACGGCAAAGCTGGTGATGCTGTTTTGCCTGATCTCCTGTAAATGTGTATCAGATGTGCATGGATTGGACCTTTCTGCATGTTTCTTTTACTCCTGAGTGTGTTTTGTTCGATATATCAAGACGTATCAAAACATCAAGCTTTTCCTCAGAATGTTAAATTATGCCCAGTGACCTGTCTCAAGAAATACGAATCGAGGACTTCCTCCCTTCGTGATCCAACACATCCAGACATGTTTCTAGCACTCTGACACCCACGTCAACCTGTCTCTGCAGTTACACTGTCTCGTTGGGTTAAATGGATTATGAAGTTGCTTGGCATCTACACTTCAGTGTTTGGGGCACACTCTGTTAGGGGAGTCTTGGCATCTAAAGCTTTCTCCCGGAGATGTAGATTAGAAGACCTTCTCCAGGCTCCTGACTGATCCCGTGAATCTACTTTTCGAGAATTTTATTTTCGTCCAGTTTCTCATTTTTCTGACATGGTAGTTTCACAGCTTTGAACTAGCATAATATGAGCCTGCGTGTCCTTTAATAAAATTACCATATTTTACTAATTTCATGACATAAAGTCATGATTTTATTAAGGACACAGAGGCGAGTATTTGCCAGGGCGATTGGGGGCCAGCTTTTTTTGCCGCACCCCAGAAAGTGCCACCCAAGGCAAATGCCTTGTCAGCCTCGCGGTAAATACACCCCTGTCTGCCTGTCTGTCTGATCTATCTATCCATCTGGGTGTCTCGTCTGCCTGCCTGTCTTTCTGTCTCTACTCGCTTTATTTCTCTGTATGTTTCCAACTTACTTACCTGTCTGTCTGTCTATCTGTCTGTCTACCCACGTTTGTCTGTCTAGATTGAATCTGTCTTTCTATGTCCATTTGTCTGTTTCGCTTCCTAGTTCAGACTATCTTTTGTAAAATGATTTACAAAAAATAAAATAAAAAGTGTGAATACCATAAAATAAAGCCATAATGATTTAAGGGACATGGAATCTTTGAAGCGATATCTTAATTGATTGCTGCATCTTGAAATTTGCGGAAAAGCTTCACAAACTCCAGCCAGAATATTCTCAATAGAGTCAATAGTTCACAAAGCGTTGTCATGACAACTTCTTGTACTGTAATTCGCTGAGCTACCTGCAGTAACCCGACCAAACGTCCTTAATTTCTGTGAACTATTCCCTAATTTAGCTCCGTCCACAGATATAATGGTTTACCCCCCAAAAAGTCTTCTGAACTTCTGCTAAACTTAAAGTATCAGTTGTCTCTTACATTTTGATCAAATAAAAATGTTATACAATAAAATGTTCTGAGAACAATTTCATTAAGAATTTCCAAGTACGTAGGAGGATTATATATATTTTTTATTAAAGAGACCCTATAGTCACCAGAACAACTACAGCTTATTGAATTTGTTCTGGTGAGTAGTATCATTACCTTCAGGATTTTTTTGCAGTAAACCCTGTCTTTTCAGAGAAAATACAGTGTTTACAATACATCCTAGTGATAACTCCACTGGCCACTCCTCAGGTGGTTGCTAGAGGTGCTTCCTGGGGCAGTGCTGCAAACTGAGCAGTACTGCCATTCGGTGTATGCAGACATTGAACTTTCTTCATAGAGATGCATTGATTCAATGCATTTCTATGAGGAGATGCTGATTGGCCAGGGCTGTGTTTGGCTTGTGCTGGCTCTGCCACTAATCTGCCTCCTTGACAGTCTCAGCCAATCATATGGGGAAGCATTGTTATTGGCTCAGAGAATCACTTCTGATGATGTCAGCCAAGCCGGCAGATCAGGGGTAGAGCCAGCAGCTACTGACTTAAGTAATTTTACTATATTTAGGTGGGTAAGGGGGAGACAGGGGCGCTAGATGGTGGTTTTAACGCTATAGGGTCAAGAATATATTTTGGTGTTCCTGACCATAGTGTTCCTTTAACCAGAATAAATGCTTAATACTTTATTGACCTCATAACTGACATTAGTTTATCCTTAGTAGGGGTTTAATTTGTATTCTGATCCAATTCAATCTGGTTGTAAGAAATAATGAGCCAATCATGACGCAGCTTTAATTTTAACAGTAGAATTATTTACTTTGACATTGTTGGACTAGAGTAAGTATCAATGTATTTATTTTCAGAGATATTTTTTAGGGAAGTATTAGGAGATGACAACCTCTCAATACTCAAATATATGTAAGGTGATGTGAGAAATGACAAGAGTAACAAATAACCTTGTGACCCAAATCCAAATGGACTATATCTCCCCTAAAACAAAAAATCTTATTTTTGGAGATACTTACAGCGGGCTTGAGCTTACTAACGTTTGTAGATAGAGGAGGGCTGGCAACTTTTGCCTTGAGGACAAGCATAGCTCTCAAGTGTCCCTATCCTATAGACTGTAAGCTCGTTTGAGCAGGGTCCTCTTCAACCTATCGTTCCTGTAAGTTTTCTTGTAATTGTCCTACTTATAGTTAAACCCCCCCCTCTCATAATATTGTAAAGTGCTACGGAATCTGTTGGCGCTATATAAATGGCAATAATAATAATAATAATAATAATAATAATGTAAGGGGAACAGTGCCTATTTTGGCCCAAATCCCTCTGTTCCTCTTTTCTATCCTAATGTCCCTCTTTTCTAGGAGCTCCATATTGTTGGTGTGTCTGCGTTTATAACAGAGCTCCACAGCAATAATCCTCCCAATAATGTATCTGAGTGTATAACAGAGCTCCACAGCAATAATCCTCCCAGTAATGTGTCTGAGTGTATAACAGAGCTCCACAGCAATAATACTCCCAGTAATGTGTCCGAGTGTATAACAGAGCTCCACAGCAATAATACTACCAGTAATGTGTCTGAGTGTATAACAAAGCTCCCTAGCAATAATACTCCCAGTAATGTGTCTGAGTGTATAACAGAGCTCCACAGCAATAATACTCCCAGTAATGTGTCTGAGTGTATAACAGAGCTCCAAAGCAATAATACTGCCAGTAATGTGTCTGAGTGTATAACAGAGCTCCAAAGCAATAATACTGCCAGTAATGTGTCTGAGTGTATAACAGAGCTCCACAGCAATAATACTCCCAGTAATGTGTCTGAGTGTATAACAGAGCTCTACAGCACTAATACTCCCAGTAATGTGTCTGAGTGTATAACAGAGCTCCAAAGCAATAATACTCCCAGTAATGTGTCTGAGTGTATAACAGAGCTCCAAAGCAATAATACTCCCAGTAATGTGTCTGAGTGCATAACAGAGCTCCACAGTAATAATACTCCCAGTAATGTGTCTGAGTGTATAACAGAGCTCCACAGCAATAATACTCCCAGTAATGTGTCTGAGTGTATCACAGAGCTCCACAGCAATAATACTCCCAGTAATGTGTCTGAGTGTATCACAGAGCTCCACAGCAATACTACTCCCAGTAATGTGCCTTTAAACTACAATAAATGTGTTTAGAAATCAGTCTGTGTAAATAAGATACATTGTTCTTGTTCTATATTACATTTTAGTTTTATAAATTGTCATTAGTAGGTAACCTAAAATTTCTCAGGAAAGCCCCGCCCCTCGTCACACCCCCAATCACACCCCTAAAATTAAATAGCCTTTCATTTTGCACACAATATTTAAGGATCTATGTGCGGATGGACCTAGTTACAATGCACAAACAATCTATTGCAGGGCCGCCATCAGAAATTTTGGGGCCCCTAACACAGCTCAAGGTCTGGGCCCCCATTCAAGCCCGCCTCCAAATCCCACCCACAGGAATACATACACACACACACTAACAGATACAAATACTGAAACAGACATACACACATGCATAGGGAGATACTGACACACACACACACATATGCATGCAGACATACATACTGACAAACATACATATACATACACATACTGCATACTGATATATACATACATACATACTGACAGGGATACATACATACAGACACACACAGGCATGCATACATACAGACACGCACTAGCATACAGACACGCACTGGAATGCATACACTGGCATGCATACACTGGCATACACACATACACTGGCATACACATGCACTGGCATGCATACATACACACACTGGCATACACACACTGGCATTCATACACACATACACACATACATTGGCATACATACATACACTGGCATACACACACACTGGCATACACACACTGGCATACTCACACTGGCACACACACACACTGGCATACACACTGGCATACACACACACAATGGCATACACTGGCATACACACACACACTGGCATACACACATACACTGGCATACATACATACACTGGCATACACATACATACACTGGCATACACTGACATACATACACTGGCATACATACACTCACATACACTGACAAACACATACACATACATACACTGGCATACACATACATACACTGGCATACATACACTGGCATACACATACATACACTGGCATACACTGACAAACACATACACATACATACACTAGCATACACATACATACACTGGCATACATACACTGTTATAGATGTAGGTGGACCAATCATCAATCAAACTTGCTGTTTTTTGCAATCAGTGTCCTACCCGACTTAGCACATTGGCATACCACTAAGGGTAGGCACAGTGCTGCTAAAAGTGTCATATATTTCTCCTTACAGCAGCCATGAATCTGATTGGCTGCTCTATGACAATCATCTTTTTAAAACTGGTTGTCAAGGAGCAAACAGAATAATTTAAAATGTTGATATAAACATATAGATGCCATTTCATACTTTAACTCAAAGTTTTCTTCAGGTCATAGGTCTGCCTAAAGTTAGGGTAGTTTAAGCTATTCAACGGCTAAAATTGTCGTAATGTGAGTGTATATTTTAGAATGAAGCTTATTTCTACTGTAATAAGTGAAATATTCATGTAAATGTGCAGATGCTAAAGTAATACATTCTTTTTTCAGTTAATGATGAACTTTACTTTCCTCTTTCGATACACGTACCATTCTAAACAACTGTTGCAGAGTCAGGTCCTCCCTCGTCCTTTACTGACATCATATTAACTAGCAATAAATGGTGTTGAAATTCAACAGAAAGATAATGTTTATCTTAAACGCAAAGTACAATGGGGCTGTTAAAGTAATTCATCCTTCATAACTGGTCACGGTAGATTTACTGGTTCCATATTAGCTTTATATAAGTTGTTTATTTCATTGTGTTTGATTGAACTATTTTGTATAAGATGGTTCTGTATTACAGTCACAGTCTCTGCTCTGCACCTATCCATCTACTTATTGATGTCAGTTACATGCCGCAGTATCTTGACTGGTACCTTTATAATGCTGCTGCCAGAAAGTGTGTATCTGTTACATTGCAAGCTGCAGTGCGCATATGTGTGGGCAGGCAGTGTGGATGCGCAGCAAGCATGTCTCCAATTTCCATATGAACCTCTTTTCAGCTAGCAAAACCTCAGTTCCTTCGATTTTCTTCAAGTTCTACATTCATACGGCTATTCACTAAAATGTGAATTGTCCGCTAGTCTAAGTGAATTCAAATTGCATTTCTAAAATTACCAAACTAAAAACATAGCAGATTTTTCCCCATTTTGCCTATATTTAAATTGACAGTTTACACTTTAAAACAAATAGCTGTGCATGTCCTTAGTAAGTTTGGTCTTTTAATGAGGATCTTGAAGTTCTCTTACAGGCAAACGGAAGTGCTACAAGGTCACTCTACCTGCATATATGGTGTACATATCACCAATTAGCAGAAAGGATGTGTAAAAACAGCTTTGCAAACACACATCTCTTCAGGGGTTATTTACTAAAGGTGAAATTTGCTGTAGCATATTTTTCCAAAATTATTTAGAGCAATCTGGGACAGCTTTCAAACACACCCAATTTACTATAATGCAAAGTGAGGTAACCAAACTGATTAAAATTAGCCACTAATAAGCATCTCTGAATTGAACCAAATTGTGACAGAATTTAAATGTCTCTGAAATTATCTAAGGTTGATGAATTGGCAACAATTACAAAATTACTCTTGAAATAGAAACGGTAAATTAGAAAGTAATTTATGAAGACAGTATGCAAAGTCTTAATAAGTAAATAACAGTAAAAACACGACAAAGGTGTGGAGTACCCCAGCTGGCCCCACATCCTCCTTGTTATAAGAGTGTTACCTGCATAGTGTCACAGTGTTACTCCACCAGCAAGTGCTTCTCATCGTTGCAGGGAGAGTGCTGACAGTGAAACAAGGTGAAATGAGGTGTATGTACTTAAATACATACACCTCATCCCAGCCACCCTCCTCTCTTCCTTACCATTTCGTCGCAGGAGGGGGGCTGGGGATGATGGGCATCGGCTGCCTCTCCTCATGCTGCGTCCTCCTTCCCGCGCGGAGTAAAGTGGGAGGAAGTGACCGGACGTCACTTCCTCCCAGCAGCACTTGCTTCCGGCTGCATTTTTTTTTTTTTAAAGGGGCCCGGTCGCGCTATTACAGCGTTGATCGGGCCCCTGAAGATAATAGGGCCCATTGGGTGGCCCTAAATGATTGGGCCACCTGATGGGCCCCATCAGCGTGTGGGCCCCGGTGCAGGTGCACCAGCGGCAGTTCCGCTGATCCATGCGGGGCCCAGGCCGCCGGGCCCCCCAGGGCCGCCGGGCCCCCCAGGGCCGCCGGGCCCGTGACAATTGTCACGGTTGTCATGCCCTGATGGCGGCCCTGATCTATTGGTCTGACAGTGGGCTAGCTCAGGCATCGAGAGCACTGAGATTGTTGTTCAACAATCATAGCAAAAACAACAACACAATAGGGGTCTTGCATAATGCCTGCCTCACACATTAGACTACCAGCAGATATTCCAATACAAGTCTTGCTGCTTTTAAAGGGACACTCTGGGCCATAAAGCACCTTAGCTTGCTGAAGTTATTTTCTGTGTGAATGCTGTGTCCTCTATTTTTTATTTTAGAAAAAGTGCAAATTTCAATAGATATTGGCACTTTTATAAATTAAGCTGGTAACACCCTATGGCGGTCAATCAGATAGCAGGTCTTGTTACTTCCTGGTTTGGTTAGCTCAGAATTTATTGAGCAGTTACACTCATCCTATTTGATGGGTGGAACTGCGGCTGGGGGCTAAACTACATATCCTATAGATGCTTGCTGAACATAGATCTAGACTCTAAAAGCTAGCTGAGCATCATAGGAAATGTAGTCCAGAAACAATCTATGGTGTCAAGGTTAGTCATCACTGATCTATGGGATAAGTTAAGATGTCCTAGAATGGGAGGCTCCAGAATAATAGAGGCGCTCCCTGGTTGGGCGTTGGGGTGTCTGCCAGAACTATGGTTTGTTTCTCTAATCTGCAATTCTTCTGGATCTTTGAATGTGTCTTTATTTTTTTCAACTTTTTATGCGTTATCTATGTAACACCATACCCAGTTTTATGTGGCGGCTACCTACATCTTCAATATAATTAGCTGAGCAGAACCTAGTTAATCTATGGGGCCCCACCAGACGTAGTATGGTGTAAAACAGTTCGGTTATTTATTGCAATTTTTTATTTATAGATTTTTCTTCCTCAAAAACTCACATAACTGCTTTTTTTTTTTTCTATCTCAAATTAAATTCATTGCTTACTCATTCCGAGGCAACTGGGAATTCTTGCTCTTAACAAGCTTTTTCAATTTACGTCTTGTTTTTATAAGTTCTACTCCAGCGAATTTACAAATGCTGCCACTTGGGGGCAGCAAATCCATGAGAATTAAATTTTAGTTCTTGAGCGTATGTGCGGGGAGAGTTATTTACTAAACAGTGAGCTGTGGTGAATTAAAAAACAGAATTGCAACATTTATACTGAAATGGCCAAGGGAATTTTTCCAATATTGCTTATTAGTCATGCATGTTTGTCATACTTTTTTAAAATAATTTGTTGTTTAGGAAAAACAGTATTTATTATATTTTGTAAGATTTTTTATTTTTTATTCTACTGAATATGTTCTATAGCCCAGCTGTAAACAGGGCTGTTTAACCCTTCATATCTGCCATCACTGCGTGTTATGAATCCAGTTCATGCTGAGTCTACCCAGGATCGTCATATAAAAATGTTTTCTTAAAGCGATGGTGTTCCCCTACCTATGTAGGTGTGCCCCCCCGTGATAGTTTAAAAGGTGAGTAGTGGAAGGGCGTGGCCTGGTGGCTCGATGAGACGGTCGCATGAGCTGTTAGCAAACCGACCTGACACAGCGATTATAACAGCACTGTGTGCCCCAAACTGATCGTGCTAGACCTCAACAGCCTGACACCGAAATCGGCGAAAAAACTGAGGCAAAAGCAATCATTGCTTCAAATCTCGGCGCTGACATCGCCACGCTCTCAGGCCTAAGATGACGCCGACATGCCACGATCACTGGCGGCCTACTCAGATCATAGTGATCTCACCTCCGTCTCAGTACCAATAGCAGCCCCTGAAACAGACCTATAGGTCCACAAAATGCTGCAAGCACTGCAAACCTCATTACAGGCGGACATCACGTAAATGGCGCGAGACACATGCGAACGGATATACAAGAACTGGGGGACAGAACGGCGCATCTCAATGATAAAACAGAAGAAATTATATCAGCACATAACACACTAGCTGATGCATATACTGAGATGAACGCAAAACTGGACCGCTTTGCTGACAAAGTGACAGACCACGAGGACAGAGACAGGCGTAGCAACATACGCCTTCACGGAATAACGGAAGATAGTTTGCCTCTAGACCTTCAAGCATATGCTACAAGCCTTGTTGCCAGACCTCACACAACAAGATTTCCGGTTACCGAAACCAAAAACGTTACCAGCCTCAGTCCCTAGGGACGTCATTACGAAGCTACACTATTATACAACAAAAGAAAAAATTATGAAGGCCTCCAGAAATACACAGACCTTACCAGAGAGATTCGCAGGTATACACCTCTTCACCGACCTCTCGGCATCTACACTGCTAAAAACAAAGGAATTAACTCCCATTACGAAAGCTCTGTGAGATGCCAACATCTTATACAGATGGGGGTTCCCAGCCCGCTTGACTATTAGACGCAACGGCACAGACCACCACATCATAACCGTGGAGGAAGGCAAGCGACTTCTCAAGGAATGGAATATCACCGCAGCAGCATACTCAAGGCGCTGAGAAAGAGCCTCAAAGATACCCACGCAAGGTTCCAAATGACTGGAGCGTAGTATCCACAGCTAAGTGACTATGTCGCACACACGATAATCCTACCTTTCATAGCAGGGCGCACTAGCCCGTTACTATAATACTCTGAGGTTACCACATATTTCTAAGTAACCTTGACTCCAT